GGGCTCAGGCAATCCACTCACCTCAGCCTCCCAAAGGCGCAGGATTACAGGCTGAGCCACCGAGCCGGCTCAGTATTTCATTCTTAATGAACATGTCTCCTATCTGGCTTTAGACTTGACAGGCAGGCTCTTTTGGAAACAGAACATCAGCAGGAGGCTGTTTGTTCAATGGAAAACTCTGAGATCCCTAAGCAGAGACACTAAGTGCAAGAAAGTAATTTTAATACTTTGGTGTAAAAAAAAAGTTGCTTATGGCTATATGCATGGCATATACTCTCACTGCTAATGGAATTAAGTTGGATGTTAGGAGACAGATTGGTAAAATTCACTTTTTAATCCTCCAGATTGGCTTAAAAATAAATTGTTGACTTAGTTTATGGCTACAAGTTGACTATAGTTTCTCCTTGTCTAGAGGCTGCTTGAACTTCCCAAAACTTGGCTCATGCTAATGAGTTCAAGAATTTCTTCATAGTAAATTCCCAAAGTGGGTTATTTCTCAAGCACACACGAATAAACTCCCAAGCTGCCACACTTGTTACACGCCGCTTTGCAGGCCTCTCTTTTCTCCAGCAAATCAAGGTCCTTCAGCTGGAAGCCTCTGAGTGGCAGTGCCCTCAGTGTGAGCAATGGTCACCGGTTCACCTCTGCAACGGGGGAGTTTCTATTAATAGCACATAATGCAGTATGTCCTTCAACTCAGCAGCTCCACTGGAAGGGATTTTCTTCATGACCAATATCGGAGAAGTTGGCTATCTGTATGAAGATATGCAGTGCAATACCATTTGCAGTGGCAGAAAACCTGGAAATGTCCTGAATCCAGGTTAAGTCAATTATGACACACCCACACAATGATTACTCTGCAAAGGTACAAGATAGGGTTGTTCTGTATGTGGCATGATGCAGAACATAGGGGATTTTCTTTAAATACATTTTTTAAAAAGGGCTGGGCTTGGTGGCTGTCTGTAATTCCAGCACTTTGGGAGTCCGCGGGTTCAAGACCAACTCAGGCAACTTGGCGATCCCTCAACTCTACAATAAAATAAAAAATAGCCAGGTGTGGAAGCGTGGGTCTGTAGTTTCAGCTACTCGGACGGCTGAGGTGGAAGATCACCCGAGCCCAGCAGGTTGACACTGGGGTGGCTGAGAGCATGGGTGCCACTGCATTCCAGCCTGGGCGAAGGAGACTCCAACTCAAAAAACAACAAAAACAACAGGCTAGGCAGGGTGGCTCATGCCTATAATCCCCGCACTTTGGGAGGCTGTGTTAAGATTGCCTGAGCTCACAGGTTCAAGACAGGCAACTTGGTAAGACCACATCTCTACAATAAATCAAAAAATTAGCCGGGCATGGTGGCAGAGACTCCAACTCAAAAAAAGAAAAATACAGGGAGAACTTTCCTTATGAAAAAAATAAAAATTTTTAACCTCACGGGCAAAGGATTCTGAACAAGATTTTTTTTTTTTTGGAGTCGAAATTTCACTCTATTGCCCAGGCTGGAGTGTAGTGGCATGCTCACAATACAACCTAGATCTAATGGGCTCAGGCAATCTTTCCACCTGTCTTCTAAGTAGCTGGAACTACAGGCATGCCCTACCACACCCGGCTACTTTTCTGATTTATTGCAGAGGTGGGGTCTCGCGCCAAGTTGTCCAGGCTGGCCTCAAACCCGTGGGCCCAGGCAATCCTCTCACCTCAGCCTCCCAAAGTGCTAGGATTATAGACATGAGCCACCGTGTACGGTCAACTTTCACTTTTTGTTTTGGAGTCTTATTTTCCAATTGTCTAACAAGGCAGGCATTTACTTGCAGGACTGAGGCCCATTTTGGGAATCTCTCCAAGTTTTTTCAACATGTTTCTTTTTGAGATGAGTCTTGTCATCTTGCCTGGTCTGCCTCAGCTTCCCAAGTAGCTGGGATTACACCATACTTGGTGTCAACATTGTTTTTAAGTGATTCCAACTAGACAGCGCTTGCTCAGGCAGGGCCCACTCAGAGTGCTGCCAGGCCTGCTGGAGGCTCCAAGAGGATGGTGAAGCCCTAGCATGGCTCCCCATCGGGGCCCACCATTCAGATCCTCTCAGAGCTTCAGGAATCAGTAGGATATGCATTGAGAGGGAAGGAAGCAGACATACCCTGGAATTCTACAAGTGCCATGTTTACTTTCCAAACAATTTTATTGAAATGTGCCAAGAATACATGGGCAGCACAAATGTATGAACAGGAAAAAAAAATCACATGTACAATAATTTTTAAAAAGTGAAGGTTAATTTGGGAGATTTCAGGTCCCCTCTCCCTCCCCCTCCGACTTCCAGCGTTTCCATTATGGTTAAGCCTCTACCAACCTAGCATTAAAAAAAAGGAATACAAGAACTTTTGCAAAAAAAGGAAAAAAACAGCATAAAGGAAAGAAACTGTTTTCCTGCTCAGATGGGACTCGTCCTAGGCACCAAATTAGGAGGCGTGCTGAGCAGTGGAGAAACACAACTTCAGAGTGTAAGGGTATGGGCCGTCTGCAAAGAAGACACGAGAGAGAAGGTTGGCTACGGCCCTCTCCAGACACTCTCCAGCTCCCTCATTTTGCGCCCGGTTCCCGTTTTCTGCAGTTCAGCCACAGGGCTTCACTAGTATTTCTCCTTTCCTTCCTCCATTCCAATGGAGGATCCCACTCCTATCTCCACGGCTGGCCCACAGCAATAGGCCAAGCCCAGCAACTGGCTGGGCAATGCTAACCTGCTGACCAGTGCTGCCCCCTTCCTGGTGCTACTTATAGCAGTCTCTGACTGCAAAGAGAGAA